GAGCAGAAGCAAGGACAGCTGCTGGGCAGGGGTGTTCCAAGGAGTTTAAACGCCTCCAAGTTTGTGAGGAACAGGAAAGAGTGCGGTAGCACTGGAGCAGAGTGAGGCAGGGCGAACCTAGAAGTAAGGCAGGCAGACAGATCATGCAGGGCCTTGTGGGCTGCAGGGAGGACTTGGACACTTAACTCATAGCAACATAGGGAGCCATGGGAGGGTTTGGAGCAGGGGAGGGACGCATCTGAGTTTTAAGAACTGTGGCCGTGGGCGTGAAGTGGCGGTTAGGGATAGAAGCACAGAGGTATCCAGGGAGACATCTGCCTGAGACGCCAGAGCCCAAGTCCCCAGGGTCCCAATCCGTGGGAAAGAGGAACAGGGAGAGAGCAGGAGTGGGAGGTGCTGGGCCCGGGACCCGCGAGCGGAAGAGCCCCGTTCCGGTCCCAGAGCTCGCGGGAGGTGTGATTGCCGACTGGGAGGTGTGAAGAGGTCACCTCCCCACCCTGGGTGCGGCTTCCCCTTTGCAGAAGGAGATCATTTATCGAGCGCCTGCTGGGTGCCAGGTGTGGCCCCGCTGCGTTGGGGGGTCTTCAAGGCTCATCCCAGCGGGCACGATCCGATCGGAGCCTTGGTCCGCAGGGTTGTGAGCCGCCGGGCACCGATGGGTTAACGCTGTCCCCCGCCGCGGGTCCCATTGGCTGTGCTGTCCCCGCGCTTGTCTTTGATTGGTCGGAGCAGACAGGAGCGGTTCTGCCCACTTAGGGTACAGAGGGGGCCGAAGCACCTAGGATCAGCGGGCTTCATGCAGGGGCGACCCTGCCTGGGTGTCCCTCGCGGTTTCTCCCACAGGGGCACCCCGGACTTACCCCCATCCCCGGCCTCTGGATCATTGCTCCTGGGGCGCCCTCCCCCGCGGCCAGCAAGGCCTGGAGCGGTCGGGGCAAAGGGCAGGGTTCTGATGAAGGTCACCGCAGCCAGACTCAGCCCCTCTTCCCGGCTGGGGCTGCTGCTCTGTGGGTGGGGGAGCTGGACCCGGCCAGGAAGCTCCTGGGAACTAGTGGGAGGTACGGGGCCAGCTGGGACTGGCCCTTTGGAGGAGCGGGCCTGGGAGAGGCGTGGGAGAGCGACAAACAATGACTGAGAGACACATACAGAGACAGAGAGAAACAGAGACTGAGAACCCGGATGAGAGAGACACGCACAGAGGAAGGGATGGAGACATTCATTCATTCATTCACTCAGCAGACACTTATTGGGCACCATCTGTGTCCCGGTAGTGCCCATGACAGACTCAAACCCTTGCCCCCCAGTGGAGCTGCCAGTCTGGTTGGGACACAGCCCAGACACACGACAAATGAGTAAATCACAATGACGGGAGCGATAAGGGTGGGAGAGACCGGGTCGGGGGAATGCGGGCAGCCAGGGGGCGGGACGTGCCAGACCCTCCTTATCGGGGGACAGGGAGGTTCCCACCCGAATTCTGCCTGCGCCTGCCCCTCCCCCACTCGCTCCGAGCCTGGGATGGGAGTGGAAAATGGGGAGGGGCCTGTGCCGGGGAGCAGCCGGGACCTAGGAGCTGGGGGGACAGGATTCAGGCCAAACCCGCGGTGCCCGGGTCCCTCCGTCGACGGGGCGTCCTTGGGGTGCAGCCCAGGAAGCTCAGTTGGGAGGTGGGGGGAAATGGAGAGGGGCCTAGACACCCAAGCACAGACGAGACCCCTCTGCTGGGGGGAAGCGGCTCAGGCTGTGGCCTCCCCTGCTGAAGAACCCTCCCCTTCCCGCGCCTCCGGGTCCTCCCACCGCGACGGAGCGTCCCTGGGAGGGCAGCCCAGGCCTGCAGGGGGGAGTTGAGGACTCGCCTGTGCCAGTCGCCGCCGGGGCATGCTCCGGTGCCGCAGCGGGGGGCACGGGCTGGCAGCCACGGGCTGAGTGCCCGAGCCTCAAGGGGAGGGGGCTACTGCTGGCGACCGCCGGCCCTCCGCTTCGTCGGCCCGCCCCCTCGCCAGCCAGCTCCAGGCCCGCCCCCAGAGCCGCGTCCGCTCACTCTGCTCCAGGCAGCGCGACTGCTGGGGGCGCACGACCAGGGCGCAGGGGTGAGTGTACAGCACGGGCCCTTGGCGGTGCGGGGCTCGGCCTGGCCACTCTCCCGGTCTGGAAAGGCGCACCGCCCCTTGCTGGGGATTCCCGATCCTTTCCCGGAGGCCTCTAGGGAGGAGAAAGCCGGCGACTCCCCGGCTGGGTGCTGAGCCCGGGGTATGGGTGGGGGCGCCTGGAATTCCCGGGTCTCGCTCCCTCCTGGCTGCGCCACTGCCAGTTTCCATGCTTCAGTCCTCCTGCCAGGCACACCGGTCGAGTAGGGTGGTGAAGAGGCCATGCGCCTCTAAGAGGTGTCCCCATCAGAGCATGTGTAACTCATGTCTCGGTGTAACTGGGACACCCCGCACCCCATCCCCAGCGTGGCTGTGACAGTGACTCCTTGTCAGTCTGTATTAGCGCGTGGTTCCCCGTGTGTGACTGAAGCTGTCTGGCATACATTTGTCCCTGCCCTGTGCCAAAAAGCCCATTCCCCTCCCGAGGCCTTGGTTTTCTCATCTGTTAAGTGGGACTTGCCTGACATTGTACCCGTTTCTGCGTGGCTATGTTTTTGTATGAGAGCGTGAAAACCTTTGTGCTTGCTTCTCGGCAAAGTATTTCTTTTGAGCCTCATCTGTACATTGGGACTAAAGGGAGGGTAGTGAAGGGGATTAAAAGGCCCAGTCGCAGGCAGGACATGTCATTATACTTTAATGACACGTGTGCCCCTCTGCAAGAGCCTGTTTGTGCAGCGTGGGTCCTGTCTGCTCCCCTAGGACTCTTCCTCTGTAAAATGGTTGGATAGGATCAGCTTTCCCACGGGGTTTTGAGTGGATGGTGGCGTTTCCGCAGGAAAAAGTCTTGTGTGCAGCGAGGTGAGGTGTGTGGAGTGTGGGCCTCTGAGCCCCAGGCTGGGTGTGAGAGGAGGTTGTGAAACTGTGGCCTGTGCCACTGGGTGTGTGACCCCATCTGCGTGTCACTGAATTTTTGCTCTTGTGTTGCTCTGCCCATGTATGAATGTATTTTTGGGTCTCCCTGATGATATATGACTGTTTATTTTTGCCCTGTGAATATGTGTGTACGTGCCACTGTGTCACTGTTTGTGTGGCCCTTTCTGTGTTTGGTCATGTTTGTTTGCGTTTCTTTCTGTTTATGATTGAATATGCCAGACATCCCTGCTTGTGTGCATTACTAGTGTCCCTTTTTTGTGAGACTGTGTGTCACTCTGTCCCCTCCTGATATTGTGTGTGGTGTCTGTTGCCATGGACACTCCCCCTTCCATCCCGAACTCCCCTTGGAGCTCATGTGCATATGGGGTGGTAGGCAGGGGTCAGGGCCCCTTTCCCAGAGCTGCCAGGCACAATTGGTGCCTGCCCCCGCAGGCCGCGGGATGGTGTGCATGGGAGGTGGGCGGTCCTCCTGACACTGCACCCGGCCTCTCCGCAGCCTTGGGGCGCGGCCCATGGAGCCGGGGCTGCTGCGGCCGGCGCCAGTGAGCGAGGTCATCGTCCTGCATTACAACTATACCGGCAAGCTCCGTGGCGCGCGCTACCAGCCCGGCGCGGGACTGCGCGCCGACGCCGTCGTGTGCCTGGCGGTGTGCGCGCTCATCGTGCTCGAGAACTTGGCCGTGCTGTTCGTGATCGGGCGCCACCCGCGTTTCCACGCGCCCATGTTCCTGCTCCTGGGCAGCCTCACGCTGTCGGATCTGCTGGCCGGCGCCGCCTACGCCGCCAACATCCTGCTGTCGGGGCCACTCACCCTGCGACTGTCGCCCGCGCTCTGGTTCGCGCGTGAAGGCGGCGTCTTCGTGACGCTCGCCGCGTCCGTCCTGAGCCTCCTGGCCATCGCTCTCGAGCGCAGCCTCACCATGGCGCGCCGGGGACCCCCCCCCCCCCCCCC